GTCCTGGTGGTACCAATGCTACAAGTCGGATCCTTCTGCTCTACAGGCCACGTCTACTATAAAGCTTGACCAGCATAGCTATCCTTATCCTTAGACATTTTTAAGAGTAGGTTAGACAAACATTTATTTAAGATAATTTAGACAGGGACGATCCTGCCTTGAGCAGTGGGTTGGGCAAGGTGACCTGCTAAGGTCCCTTCCAGCCCTACTTTGGGTGTGAAAAACATCCCAGCTACACCAAAAGAAGAGAGGTTTTCTTAGCTTAGGTTATGTTTGGAGAGGTGGCATAGCTAAGCTAGGATTAAAACCACTTCTATCAGTGTATGTTTTCTCTCTGTGATTAAGAACTCCATAAGCTTAACTTTCAGGCATAGCTTTAGCAAGCAGATACTCTACTGTAGATAAGCCCAAGAGCATGAATTGCAACCACTTGATATGAATACAAATCAATGGCAGGGTTTTTTGGGGGGTTTTTAGAAGCTGATTTAACTTCATGTAGAAAATTTACACCCTGAGAGCACCTAGCCAGTCCCAGTGGGGCTGATACATGGGAGGTCATGGCAATAGAATAAAGCAAAATGAACTGCAGTTGTGCGTAGTTTCAGACACTGTTTTACTCTGTAATCCCTTTTTCCTTTCAAGCAGAAGTTTGACATTTTCTTTCTTCGCTTGTGAAATGTTTGTGCAAAGCAAAGCCGGACTTGAGACTGTGCCACTGGATGGTTTGGGGTTTTGTTTGGTTTTCGTTTAAAAAGAAACAAAAAGAGATCCTTTCCAGTAGGAGAACTTTAGAGCTAGAATCCATATTTCCTGCTTTCTTAGTCACAGTTTAAATTCCTTCAGATGTCATATAAGGGTAAAATAAAAGTCCTCTGTATCTATCTAGGAGGGTGTGGGGAGGGAGTGTCCTCTTTATCAGACAGCCTTAGGCAAAAGTGAACAGAAATCAGAAGAGCAATGCTGCTTAGCTTGGCGGTCCTCCATCTCATTCATAAAGTCCAATTCTGAAATCTGGAGTCAACAACTTAATGCTATCCCATAACAATGAGTAAGCTTTTATATAAGCCAGTCATAGCCCTCAGTTTCAAATAACATGTGCTGTAGGTTGTATGCACATAGCAGCTCCTGTGCTCAGATGCAGCAGTGGTTCATCTGGTCGAAGTGCATGGAAACTGGAGATAGTAAAGAACTGCTAGTCTATCCCTCTACTAGTGCAGAATTGTTTCTTACCCTTTCAGGTCTTGCTGGGGCTTCTAGCAATCTGCATGTCAGTGTCCTTGACAGGGACCTGTGTCCTAATGTTAATACACCAAGCTGTGCAATACTTGGTTGACTTTTACTTCATTTTATGCCTTGATCAGGATCTTTGTTTTATATATAAGCACAAAACCACCTCCTCTGTTAATATAAGCTTTCTAGAACCACTCTTCTTCTCCTCACTGGCCTGGCCTAGGATGATGATGGATTTACTGATCACTTGTTGTCATCCCCTCTTCCTCAGCATAGAAAGTGTCCTGTGAAGAGCTGTAGTCATGTGGTGTGTTTCTCAAGCTGGACAAGGAGGAAAGGGCACAAAGGCTTTATAGTCAGACAGTAAAGAGGGACAGATAGATTGAGCCTCAAAATGAAACCTGAATGGTCTTGAACTTGATCCATCCCTTAAAGGAGAACTTAGTAACATTTATGGAAAATTGGGTTCACTATGTTCTCCTCCTCCTTGTCATAGATTTCATAGACATTAGGGCTGGAAGGGACCTCACAAGATCATCGGGTCCAGCCCACTGCCCAAAGGGCAAGAAGTTGGCGAGGGTCAAAGGATCCCAGAAAGATAAGCGTCCAAATGTTTCTTAAAAGTGTGCGCAGTAGGTGCTTGCACCACCTCTGAGGGGAGTCTATTCCAGGCCTTGGGGGCTTGGACAGTAAAGAAGTTTTCCTTTATGTCCAGCCTAAAATGGTCTTGCAGGAGTTTGTGACTGTTGGACTTTGTCATCCCTTGGGGTGCCCTAGTGAACAGGTGTTCCCCCAGATCCTGATCCACATCCCTCATGTACTTGCACTTTGGTCATGGATGCTTGCACTTCAATTCCCACCCATGACATGAGAATCCCATTGATACAGATAGATTTGAACTAGGATTGTGTTTCCAAGCATCTATAAACTTGGTGGATCTAGCATGAATCTGCATCCACACTTTATTTATATCTCTGTCTAAGCTGCTCTAAAGTGCCAGATGCAAACATCTTTGGACTTTTAGAGTGTTTGAAATTCAGATCCAAACTCTATTAAGTCAGTCTGTGTTCAGTGTATGGCACTGATGAAATACTTGTAGTTGGACATGTGGTGTATTAAAAAAGGGGAAAAAATGGTTTGGGAGATCTGCCTTAATTGCCTTAAATTTGATTATCTTATTTTGAAACAGGCATACTCTTAACAGTAATAGTACCAAGGCTACCTTACCTCTTTTTCTGGTTTTCTGGTTTTGATGTCTTTTAACATCCATTGTTACACTATTACTTAAAAGCTGCTGCTACTGCTGCTGTTCTAATGGGCTCTATTACAAAGAGATAAACATCAGCTATGTTTAATGTTTAGTTTTTTTCACAATTTTAGCTGGGGTTTCTTGAGCAAAGGCAGGAAACAAGAATCAGAAATGTTTGGTATTTCAATGGGGCTATCTCCTTCCATCTGTCAAACCTCTTCTCTGAAGACTCTCAAAACTTTCCATCCCGTCTTTCTGCCTCTGTAGATTAGTAGGTTTTAGGGGTATTGGGAAGGGAGTTACTTTTTCCTGGAGGGCTACATAACCCCTTTTCTACCTGTCTTGTGCCCCTTTGCTTTCCTTTAAACCTCTAAATTGGAGTGGTCTCCTTTGCACAGCAAACTGAATATCAGCCAGCAGCTTCTCTGCTGAGCCATCTGAACTGCTCTCTTTTCTCCCCACCAGCACTGAGCGATCGACATAGTCCCACTGTGTTGCTCTGAATCCAGGGAATGAGAAATCAGGCTCTGAATTAGACCCAGGTGGGTTGTGTGGGAACATTTAATTCCCATGGGGTTGCTAGTCCCTTCTTTCCCTTCCTCCCCTCCACTACTCAGTGTTCACGTGGTGAAATGATCATGATATTTATCCTCTGCAGTGCCAAGTTATTTATCCTCTGTTAGTGTGCTGAGAAGTGGAATCATTGTTCTGTTACTCATTGTACCTGTTACTATTTCCTTTCATTGTATATCTTTATAATCCCAGGGGCTTGAGGGTTTGGGGGGGCGGTGTTAATGCTTTTGTTTTTCTTTTCTCTCCAGGGAATTGACCCAACTCTTGCTTTCTGTGGTTACTTTTTTTCCTTTCTAAAATGTATTCTGGTTAGGAAAGCAGACTCCCATCAGAAGTGGCCTGTGTTCAAACACCACATCCCATCATTGGTGGAATTCTTGTAATATCATTTTGCCTTTGATAACTTTCATCCCCAAAACACCTACTGCGTGTGCTTGCAATGAACGGCACAGACCCAAACGGTCATCTGTGGGAACAGAGACCAGTATTGTTGGCAATAAAGCCCACGGGCAACTATTTCTTGAGCTTAAAGAAGCTCTTTTACTTATCTAGTGGGGCATCAACTCAATAGAGACAGAATTCTTTCTATAAAGCTGTAGAAATTATGTGCTTATCACTACTAAAATGGAGCTGCCTTTGGGGGTGGAGGATGAGAGCCAGCTTAACAACAAGGAGAGGAAATGGAAAATCCTGGCAAAGGTTACAGGTGCAAAGCCTTGCTCTCACACAAGAGTATGGGATATTTTAACACACATCCAGATGGGACCTGTGGTTTATTGTCCCCAGTCATTCAAAATTAAGCTTGTTCCAGAGCTTGAGTCTGCCTTATCCCAGCTGGGACTATGGGGGTGGAATAGTATGGCAGTATGAGTGCAGCAGAGAAAACAGATGATCCTCTAGCGTCTGTATTCCACATTCAGTGGCTGGGCCCTAGACTGCGGTGTTGTCTGCACTCTCAGGTTTGTCCTTGAAATAGTTGTGTGAAGGGCAGGGGAACAGCTGTGAAATGATTACTCATCTGTCCACCTGACGTCTCCTGAGGTTTCTCTGATGTGGTTTGGTTTTGGAGGAGCTGGAAATTGTTTTTTGTGACAGTCATTTGTCTTTGAATAACTCAGTATAGCAATTGTGTCCTGCTTTCTGCTTGCCTAGCTGGAGAGACAGACTCTGTAATGGAATAAGTGATATGTTTATAAACATTTTCTCAGTTTGCTGTCCAAAAGAAACAGAACGGCAAGAATCTTCTTACCTGCTTTATTAATACCAATTGGCATTTAAAGACAAAAAAAATCAAACTTTCCCCACTTAAGGATTTCAAAGCACATTTATATGGTCATGTCACTGGCTGCAGAAATGCAGCCACCCCTGTAGCAGAGTATAGCATCTGGTTAACAGCTCACAATAAAACTTCAGGGTAAAAATGGAAAAATAACAACATCCAGTTGAAACTGGCAAGGGGTTTAAAGGAAGCAGCACATTTATTACCGAAACTGGAATTTGGGCAGGAACACTCCACTGTTCTGTTCTGGAACAAAATGCCAAAGGCTGTTTTAGCGGTCAGGCCTCCTGCTTTGAAATTAGGGATGGCTGAATATTTTCAGTTTTTCCATTTAAAAAAAAATAACTTTTTTCACAAAAGAACTGTATGTCTAAAAAATAAAGAGGATTCCAGTTCCCTGTACTGCAGCAGGACCTCATGGGAAGTGTAATTCAGTTACCTTTTATTCCTATTCTCCTCTACAGAGAGAAGCTATACTTAATCTACCGTGAGATTTTAGGTGCTACCTATAAAATGGAGATAATCCTTGCATTGTATGCTTAGATTGTAAACTCTTCAAGGTAGCCTTTACCTATATGGTTTCTGTCACAAAATGGGCCTTGATCTCACCTGAGGACTCTGGGCATTACTGGAAGGTAAACTATAATAAGCTTGTGCTGTTTAACAAAGCGGATTTGTTTTTGCCAATAGGTCCCTTGAAGTCCGCTACTTCACCTACGGGATCCTCTTTGGATGTGGCAGCTCCTTTGCTTTCCAGCCCTCTCTGGTCATTCTTGGTCATTACTTCAAACGTCGCCTGGGCTTGGCAAATGGCATCGTGGCTGGCGGCAGCTGCCTCTTCTCAATATCCCTTCCGTTCTTTTTGAAGACTGTCGGTAAAGCCATTGGGCTGGCTCACACTTTCCAAGTCCTCAGTGCCTTTATGTTTATCCAGATACTTTTGTCTCTGACTTTCCGGCCCCTCTTGCCTCCTTCTTCTGACTCTCACCAGGACGGGCAAGATAAACTGGCCAGCCGGAGCATGAAACAGCAGTGCAGGAACCAGATGCAGAATTATTTCAGCATGAGGGTTTTCAGGAAAAAGACCTACCGGATATGGGCTTTTGGAATCGCCACTGCCGTCCTGGGATACTTTGTACCTTACGTGCATCTGGTGAGAAAGCTGGGGGGAGGAGATAGAGGAGCATGGTGAGCAAGAGGGGGTGAATAGGAATTTGTCTCTGCAGCTAGTCTGTTCAGCTAAAGCCCCTCAACCTGCCTCGCATTTTGGCTGGTGATCTTCAGTGCTGTTGACCAGTGCTAGTACTCAGCTGGAGAGTGCATCACCACAATGTGTAGTGGATGCAGAGGGAAAGGGTGGGTGGGTGTGTGTGGAAGGGAGGTTTCTAATGAGATTCCTCCTTCCAAGGACTCTAAAAGGTGAGGAAGGATATTGAAGGGCAAGTGGGGACAGAGTTGCAGGGGGTCATGAAGAAGAGAGGCTGATGCAGAAGTTTCCCTGTGAACAAGAATAGTATGGGGAAGAGGCAGCTTTGGAGCATTTCACTAATACAGCATTTTGACTGCCTGAGCCCCATTCTGGACTTCATCTGTGTAAGTCATGGCAGGCTGGGCAGCTACTGCAGGTCAGTAAAGCTGCGTAAGTAATCCATCAATGCGGAGGTGGGGCACACGCCATAGTTGGAGAGCTCATTACCAGAGTGGTCTCCGAGGCCCTTCACTGATACGTTGGGCTTGAGGTTGGCAAGGGGGAGGTGGAGGTGGGTATCACTGTGAGATATACTAAGGTCCAGCATATTGTATTTGTGTAGCATAGCAGAGCCGTTCTCTAATAGCAGTTAATCCTTTGAAGGGAATGCCACACAGTTATAGTTGGTATCTAGTTACAGACATTCCTCTTAGAAATTCTTGGTCTAATATTTAAGACAGTCCCAGCCAGTCTGTGTTTTTGGTGAGTGTAATTAATAGGTTTGAGGCTTAATGGCTCTATTTCCCTCTATCCATCCCAGATTAAGTATGTGGAGGAGGCATTTAAGGAAGACCAAAAGGAATGGATTCTCTTGGTTTGCCTTGGAGCCATGTCAGGGCTTGGACGCTTGGTTTCTGGCCGGATTGGTGACTGCATTCCTGGACTGAAGAAGATTTACTTGCAGGTATGCTATGCTTCATCCTCCACTCCGCTCCTCTCCCCCATACAAGTGCATGCTAAACATGAAAGCTTTACTACCCTGGGATGACTTACCCATACAAATATCAATATATGGCACTTAGTGCATTTCATCCAAGGAGCTGTACAGGCTTTCCACCCAATTCACTAACCCTCCCAACACCCAGGAGGTAGTTAAATATTATTGAAGGTTAAAGTGAGTCATAGAGAAGCTGTATGCTTTACTCAATATCTTCCAGAAGTCAAAAATGAAAGCCTGAAAATCTTGCTAGATGCCTATCTGCATCATTGGTTATTTCAGGATCTTTGGAGATCTACCTAAGGCATGAACAGTGAGCACTGCAAGGTATGAGCAAGATGATGCAACTGAAAGCAACATGTCCAAGATAAAAGAGTGGCAGGCGAATGAGAGATTGAAGTGGGAGGGAATATTTGGAGCGGCCAACAGGGCTTGCCATTCTAGAGAGACCGAAGAATCTGGAAGGGAGACAAGGTGTTTATTATATATAAGTACAGGATTAGTCAGGGCACTGGTCATAGAAATGATGGGCTAAGGGTGGGCTTCTACACTACTTATATTATTTGTCCAAAATGAGCCCTCTTGTCTTAAAGAAATGTTTTCAAATTACCAGTATGAAATTACAGAATGGATCCTCTTACTTTTTCTCCAATAGTCCCACAACCTTGGACTTGCATTAAGAAGCCACAAGCTCATGGTTTATCAGTTACCTGTCTAATATCTGCACTTTGACTCTTCAGGTTGCCTCCTTTATGCTTTTGGGCCTCATGTGCATGATGATCCCACAGTGCCAAAAATTTGAAGATGTTATTGTTGTCTGCCTCTTTCTTGGACTTTGTGATGGTTTCTTTATAACTATCATGGCTCCCATAGCCTTTGAGTTGGTTGGACCAATGCAAGCTTCTCAAGCTATTGGCTATCTCCTGGGTCTTATGGCCATCCCAATGACTGCCGGGCCACCAATAGCAGGTCAGTAGAAGTGTCGGACTCTAAAATCACAGGATTTTATGGGATTGCATGTTAAGTCTTGCATCACAAATGATTGGAAGGTGGTGGTGGCTAGGGAAGAAGTGAGGTATTGTGGGAAGAGGAAACACATACTGTTGTCTTCTTCACATATTTTGGCATAAACTAATGCATTATCTTAAAAATATTCTATGTTTTGTCCACATTAATTTTAGCTGCAGTATGTTTACAAATAAGACTTTTCCTATGATGCAATAGTGTTTTTCTTCACGTGGGGCAGCTGAATACTGAAAAAATTAACAGAGCATGTTTCATCATCCCAGCAATTTAAGAGAGAATTTTAAGAGCAGATGATAGAATTAGACAGAACAGACTAATATCAGAATTGACCATGTTTTAATAAATATTTCGTAGATGTGTGTTAGCCTCAGTTACTTGAAAAAATATTTTAAATTAGAGTTCCATAGTTACCACTTTTTTATAACATGAAATTTAGAGCTGGAGTTTTGGCAGAGGGTACAAATCATGCCTCAAATTACTGAACAGAATGTAAAGATTAGATATGGGGTCATTATCCAACAAACATCTGCATACTTGCTTAACTTTAAGGACTTTGAGCTTATTTGTGTTTAAAGTAAAACACATGTGCAAGTTCAATGCAGGAACATGCCCTTGAACAAGAAGGGCAGCTGAATTTGATAAAAACAAAACAAAAAAAAAGCACTATCAGTGCCTATGCTTCTGGGCATGAATTGATGATTCAGCTGGTGTTGAGAAAAGACTGTCAGCATCATTACGCTGCTCCTTAGAAATATCCTGAATTGGACACATCACGCAAAACCATGCAATCCCTATGTTTCTACATGCAAGAGAAATCTTGGAATTCTAGGGACTTTCCTAACAGCCTTCAAATGATGATGGAAGTAGGTAGCATCTCCAGAAAAAAAAAGTCTGGTCATGTAAGAACTTGCTTGAACAAATGGTATTGCACAGTTGGTCTAAAGGGAGTAGCGTGTAATCAGTAAATGTCAGTAGTTGGTTCCCTCTCCAACCAAAAAAAACCCAAACCAAAACTAGCATGGACATCCATAAGCAAACCCTATGTTACAAAGAAAGGGGTTTAACGCTCAACATGTTTATAGGCAGCTGGTATCCTTTTTCCTGTATATTTGTTTATCAATCTAGTGATAAGAAATTGCATCTGCAGTATTTGATTACTAAGTGTTACCTTGATTTTTATTTCTGATTCTGGTTTGAGTCTCAGAATCTTATTTCAGTTGTAGTTAAATAATAATTAGTATCTGAGGTTGTGATCCTTAATTCTGATACCAACTTTTAAAATCCTGGGTAACAGAGCTCTGTTCTATGAAGCCTAGTTAGGCTGGAGCTGGAGAGGGCCCAAGTTGTCTCCTCTGTGGATTTAGGAAGACTTAAATTAGCCATTAGTCTAAAGTAACTACAATCACGGTTCTTCTGTTTTTCAGGATACCTCCATGATTATTTTGGGACTTACCACCCATCCTTTTATTTTGCTGGAATTCCCCCAATTATCGGGGGCCTGGTCTTGTCTGTCGTGCCTCTGGTTCATCAAAGAATGCTCAAGAAACAGCAGCCGGATTCTGGCAAAGACAAAATGTTGGTTTCAGAGACCGTCATGAATGGAGAGCTCCTTCCAGGCTGTCCTACCACCGAGGCACACATATAAAGCCTTTTCCCAGTCCCTCACTCCCAGAGACATGCATACACATGTACACACTCTGACACCAGCATCTTCCCCCTGTCTAAGCACAGGCCCTTTTTTAAAAGGAGCATAATCCTGTGCAGTTGCAGAGGTGCTGCAATATATTTGTTAGGGCTGTGCGAAGTTTTGGGTACTGATTTGATTTGGATGAGATTTGGCCTGATTCAGTAGCCAAATCTCCAAATCTGAATCAAATTAAGAGACCAATACAAAGGTCTGAATTGATTTGAAGCCTCCAAATCAATTTGGAGGAGATTCGGTGATTCAGGCAGTCCCCATTTGCCTCGCAAGCAGCTGGACCCAGACTCCATGCTGATAAGTAGGGGGCTGCAGCGGCTGTCAGGGCTTTTGGGGGCTCATGGCAGAGCCCCCCCCCGCACAGTGCGGGGCAGTGGGGGGCAGCAGGGATCGCTGCCCTGCCTGGCAGGAGCCAGTGAGTGCGGGGCTTTTTTTTTAAAACTGCTGGGACGCTGGTGCTGGGCAGGGCAGGGCAGGGCAGCCATTGATGGGGTTGGGAGAGTGGGTGGGGGGTGGGACCTGTTTGATTCGGCCAATTCGGCAGCGGGCGGAACTCTTGATTAGA